ATTATATAATAAAGAATAAAAGTTAATAAATAAATACTTTTTAAATGAAAGATTTATTTAAAATTTACTATCATAGCAGTTTTAATGGATAACGTATAATAATTTTTATTTTAATTATGACATAAAATACTCTCAACAATGATTTATGATTAAAAAAATAATTTTGAATAGTCAATGATTTATTAAAAAGGATTTACAAGGCTAGTGACATATAATTGCATAAAGTTCTATTAGGCGAGCCCAGTACATTGGACATTGGGCGTGTCTGAGGCGTAAGCCCGACGGTCGATGCGTAAGTCTTACGGAACTAAGTCCCACACATAATCCCAGGGGCATTTTACGAGTGCTCCGCCCTAGAGCGAGCCCCGGACGAGTCCCAATTCTGCTTTTTAAAACAGAGTGCATGACTACTAGCAACTTTACGTTGAGAACCAAAAAGTCCAATAGAGTAATGAATGTCAACTCTTCTACTATATGCCTTCTTTGCCTAACTCTTTACTTTTATTTGTCCATTATACTAAAAATATATTTTATTTTTACTGGTCTATTATATTAAATCAAGAAAAAAATAATTTTTTTTATACATATTTTACCCTTATCATTAGTTACTCAATCCCCAAATCATTTTTCAAGTCTTTTGAAAATGATATCATTATTATGGGCAAAATTATAAAATACATACATCATTTATTTTTTTCTTAAAAAAAATGTAAAGTAAAAATGGATAACTAAAAATAAACGGAGAAAATATTTAAGTCATTTGAATTAACTTGGGTGTTACAAATCAGAAGTTAATCAATTTTGGTATAAGAATTAATATAACGGCACTATAGTAATTTAATAAGGTTCTGTCCAAATACCTAACATTTAGGCATTAGACTTGCAATCGCGTAACCAAATTAACTACTTATAAATGAGGTCTATGTAATTAATCAAAAAATGCATCTAAAATTGTGGTCAATGAAGCTAAATTGGACCATGTGAAAATCCGTGCAAAAACAAAACAAGTTAGCTGAATTACTTGTCATCTAATGTAAACCATTGATAGATATAATTAGTGTACTGTAGGAGATAGTAATAGATAACCAGTAAATTAATCAATATTACATCTATCTAGTCCAAACACAAATAGTTGATCCAAAAATACATAATGAACTACATTCATGCTAAAAACGTGCATGTAAAAAATTAGGTAGGATAGTCACCTTTTAGATTTGCTATTACACCTTTCGTTTAAAAAGACTATTCTGGCCTTTACCTAAATTGCTCCCGCATATGATGGATGGATGGATGGATGGATGGATAAATGGAACGTTAACGTAACCGACAAAAACATTGTTACTCCATTCCAACTAGTTACTGTCCATTCCTTTGAACAATGAAAGTTGAGATCCTCTACAACAGAAATTAACTTTCTCTTGATTATCAGAATGTAGCATTTCTCCATTTACATGATTTTCTATATACCACCAATATTGTAGATTATTTAATACTTAAAAGTAAATAATGCATAACTTAATTTTGAACTCTTTCTAATTTGCTGGAGTTGTCTTCAATACCATTTTTGATTTATTTTACGTTTTCCATTCACCTGGTGTACACATGATTTAAGTTCGCTCTACTTCTAAAATAAATTATGGGAAAACGTAACGTTTTACCAAAAAATATACATACCAGAGTTAAGTGGACAGTGGACACACATTTTTTGTAATTATCTTGTCCATTAGAACTACAAACTGCGAACTCCCACGGGGAATTTCATCTGTATTATAGTTATGGAAGTTACAAAGAAGAAGGGGAAAAAAAAAAGGAGAAGGTTTCATGTGTTTAATTTAGTGGTATTTTGTCTAACTAATTATAAAGCGGGAAAATGTTAATTGCTTTTGAGATGGTGGTTAATTCTTAATTAGCAGTGTAAAAAATGGTTATTTTCCTTTTTTTGCCCTTTAATAACAATTTAATCATGTTGGCATGTCTAGAATGTTAGAGCTCAAATATTCAAAGTTCTCATCAAGCAATATTTTAAAAAAAGATGCTTACGTGATTACACGTTTGAGGTAAGATAATCTATTAATGCCCATGCTAACATTGAATTCGCTTCACGTCTTGTACATATTTTCTTCTAAGTACTTGGATATTGCCCGCGACGAAGACAGGAAATTTAAGGTCAGTGAACTATATAAGGGTGTTCAAAGTCTATTTTTTAATCATAACAAATGGAGTAATATTTTACCCTATACACAGTATTTATAATTTTTCAATGAAGGGTGTTAAGTTGAACCCACCCTTAACCATACATAGCTTTGCCCATAGATATAACTTTTATAATATATTTGAATTTCATAATAAAGAATTTGTCGACTTCATATTTTTACATTTTTCATTTGTCGTTATTATTCTTACTTTAAAATAAATCAATGAATCAATTATGCAGCAGTCTCACTCAAACCATATCAGTTCTTCGTGTCTATTTTTAAAAGGTATTAACAAGGGGAAAAAAAGTATTTCTAGATGTGTAAGGACTTAAGTCTAGATGGTTCTAAAAGTAAACCCAAATTTAGTGGATTGCTCTAAAAAATCAAGGAAAATTTTCGTTCTTATACCATATAGGAAACTATATTACTAAATATATTCATAGTTTGCATATTACCCACCATATTAATAGTATTTCTATAAAATATAGACAATTCATTAAATAAGGAATCATTGTAGCTGTAGGCTTCCTTATTTAGGCGCGCTAATATTGGAGAATTAAATATTCTTCCAGATATTTTACAACGCAAATCACGCATTAATAATTATCGGCTGTTTCGATTCAAAATTTAGCGACTCTGTTTTTACGATACACTGTGTTTCAACATTTTTTCTGATTTCACAAATCAAAAACGACTAAATCTTCTATAATTCTTCTACAACAAACGCAATTATGTCCAAAATTTCAATTATGCTATAACTGAATGGGAATTGGGATAGCTATGGGAGATTTAGAGAATTTCAGGTCAATGGCATTGTAGTCGATGAGGATGCGAGTTATAGTCTATTGATTTCTACAATAGCATAGCAATTAATGATTGATACATCCGAAAAAATTATAGAAATCAAATACATTATCAACGAGCATTGTCCTCCAATGGAAATTAGGAACGATATGGGTGTTCGTGTATACATGGAGACGAAAAAGGAAAACAAAAACTTAGGATCATATCCGCTATGTATAACTGTTCGCGATTTCAATATGGAATTGAGTATCACCAATGAGAACACAGTTGCAGGTTTGTGCTATTACATTTTCCATCAAATTCTGGTTGTATATCAATGTCCTACACTTTATCTACATTTTATCTACAAATAAATTAAATGTCAGAGTAAAACAATATATATATATCAGTATGGATTTTCACAATATCTACAAAATTTCTACATTTATTCTACAATAAAACTACATATCATTTGAAAAATTAATATGAAATACAAAATTTCAATGTTTCTACAAATTATCTACAAAATTTCTACAAACTGTTCATAACAGTATTTATCTTTTTTTCTCATGTAGGTTCGTCTGGAACATTAAAGTTACTTGATATGTCAACATCTCCCGTTATAGAGGAATATAAAAGTATAATAATAACAGATAGTACACCAAGTTTTATTGAAGTAGGACAAGTATACCAAGACAAGCAAACAATTGCAACTGCAATGAAGCACTATTCTGTCATGCACAAGTTCCAATTCACGGTTAAAAGATCTAGTGCTAGAAGGTATGAACATATGAATGGTCAAAGATCATTATTTTTTAAAATTTGTAGTTTATTTGTAATTTTTTACTTCTTCAGTTTTTTCTTGTGATAATGTTTATCAGTATTGTAGATGAATTGTAGTTATGTTGTATGTAAATTGTATAATGTGATCGTTTAAGCTAAACCAGTCTTTTTTTTAATCTACATTTTAAACCAGTGTTTAAATTGTATTTATTTTGTAGCTACTGGCTGTTATGTGTTGGTGAAAAATGTACATGGCACTTCAAGGCAACTAGCATAAATGATTCTACAATGTTCAAGGTCAGAAATTCCAACAGCCAACACACATGCTCTTTAATGGACAATACATTCATACAAGGCAAACCTACTGTCATGGTAGTTGGTAGCATGGTTATTCCAAAATATTCGGATCCTAAGACAATTTACACACCAAAAGACATACAAACTGGCATGTTGTCTGAACACGGTGTGAATCTAACCTACATGCAAGCTTGGAGAGCAAAGGAAAAGACTTTACAGTTTTTGATAGGTCATCCTGCTGACTCCTACAGCAAATTATCAAGTTATATTTATATTCTTGAGAAGACTTATCCGGGATCTGTAGTTAAATATAAGAAGACCGCAGATGAATGCTTCTTATATGCATTTGTTGCGATTTGTACGTCAATCAGTGATTGGGAATATTGTAGGTCAGTTGTAGTAGTTGATGGGACCTTTTTAAAGTCATCATACAGGGGAATAATGGTAACATCTAGTATAATGGATGCAGCAGGTATTGTAGTTTTATTGCAGAAATCTTGTAGAAATATTGTAGATTGTCTGTTTTTTGTAGTACTTGTAGATTTATTGTAGATATATTGATGAAAAGTTGTAGTTTGTATGTATATGTCTTCCTCTGCATTTTTCCTGCAGCCAATTAATTGCTATTTGCCACATAATGTAGGTACCATATTACCATTGGCATATGCTGTTGATGATTCAAAATATGACGCATCATGAAAGTGATTTTTTGAGCAATTAAAACATACATATGGTGAAAAACCAAATATGTGTGTTGTTTCGGATCGGAATGAGAGTATCTTGAAGGCAACATCTATTGTTTATCCCGGCATGCCACATTATTCTTACATGTGGCATATTTGGACAAATATAAGGGCAAAGTTCAAGAAGGGTCATCTAAAGTTAAGCGAATTGTACTTTGCCACGACACGATCATACACGCTTGATGAATTTAATGAAAGGATGTCAAAGATTGAAGAGAATGACCCGCGTGTTAAAGCATACTTATACGATATTGGCTACCATAGATGGTCTCGAGTACACGCTACGGTGAACAGAACTTGGACTATGACATCAAACATTGCTGAGTCGTTGAATGTTGTAACAAAATATGCAAGAGAGTTGTTGATAGTAGAACTATTAGAGTATATGATGACTATTCTTGAACGTTGGACGAAGGAAAAGTTATTTGAGAGCAAAGGTTACATTCACATACCTTGGGTTTAAATTCAACAAAGAGTTGGATGACAACAAAACATTATCGCACAAGCTTAGAGTAAGATCTGATCATTTATTGCATCAAATTAATTTATATAGGACAATGTAGATATTGTAGATATTTTGTATTTAACCGTATATGAATTATTTTTTTGTTTGTAATGTAATTGTAGGTGAGGGCTTCAACAGACTACATCCATACAGTACTAGATGGTGTGAGGCGCTATATTGTTTGTCTTGAAAACAAGAGATGTAGTTGTGGGCGATTCCAGTTTAATGAACTTCCATGTCCATATGCTTTGGCTGCTTTAAGACACATGGATGAGTCTTTTGAACAATATTGTTCTCTTTATTATACAAGGAAGAACCTCTTGCGTACTTATGAAATACCAGTAAATTCCCTGCCTGATGAAAGCAAATGGAATGTGCCACAACATATATCTGAAGAAGTAGTAAATCCACCTACAGAAGGGAAAAGGCAGCCAGGAAGACCTCAAAAAGAAAGATACAAAACATATGATGAAATAAATTCAAAGAAGTACAAGATTTCATGTGGCAACTGCGGAGGAGAAGGGCATAACAAAAGATCTTGCAAGAATGCACCCAAAAAGAAATAAAATTTTATGTAGTTAACAGAATATTTCATAAAAATTGTTGGTGAGTTCAGGATAACAGAATTTGATGTGTAATTGTTGAGGTTTTTTAAGATCATAATGTAGTTAGTTAGGATTTTTCTGTATTGAGATAATACTTTCATAGAGTGATTTGTTTATGAATGGTTTCTATATATATAATATACCACTTTTTTACTATCTCTAGCATCCTTTACATAGTTGTTAATGTTTTTTTGCAATTTATCTACAATACAACTACAAAAAAATTATATTAACTGGAATTGACAGAATAACTACATTATAAATCAGTAGGAAAAGAGTTATATACTAAAATATTGTAGATCAAGTACTGTTTACATTCAACAAATGAATATAAAAGCAACAAAACACATTGTTAAATATTTTCTACAAATTCAACTACAACAAAACTACAATAGCTAGAGCTGACATAATAACTAGATTATAATTCAGCTAAAAAGAAGTTATATGCTAAAAATAATGTAGATCAGGTACTGTTTACATTCAACAAATTGAATGTAAAAGCAACAAAATGTTTAGTTACTGATTTTTACACTTTATCTATAGAAAAACAACAAAATAAGTACATATTTTTGTGTTGACAGTATAACTGTATAAAAATTCAGTTGGAAAGGATTTATATGCTAAAATAATGAAGATCAAGTACTATAAATATTCAACAAGTGAATATAAAACCAACAGAATATTTTCATTTGAACTACTATACTGGATAAGAAAAAAAATAAAGGCTACTATAATTGTAGCGCAAGTCTGCTACAATTAAAACACAACAATATTGTTTAAAAACTTATCTACCATCTTTCTTCTAAACTAGCATCAACTAAACAATTGTACTACATGTTCCATAGAAAACATTACAACTACTTCTTCTTCCTCTAGACTCGTATTTTTCTCATTCAAAGCTGGTGCACCTTTTCTCCTTGCCAATTTGTCTGTCACCTCACTTTCACTAATTTCCCCATGCTCCTGCTTCTTTCTAGCATTGTCCCAAAGTAGAGCTCCATAGCGTCTACGATATTGGTTAATATCATAAAGGTCTTCTGCCGGAATTGATAACTCTCCAAGACTAACATACTCTGCAAAGGCAGCAACAAATACACCACAATCGCTGCAAAGATAAAAAAAATATCAATATTTACCAAACGATTAGAAAAAAGGGTTAAATGTATAGAAAGAAAGAAGTTTTCTATTACAGTGATCCTTCTTTTTGCTGTGGTATCTCTCCGACAATCCACTGAATGTTAAGAGGGTCGGTAACAGCTTTCCAATGTATGCCTTTGTATTCTTGAAGTTGATGTCTTTACACTTCCCATAAGAATCGGTGCATGACAAATACAAAGGGATAATAACATAAAACTTGTCGACACAAGATTCAACAATAGAGTGATTGCGTGAAGAGACCATGGAATCATATGCATAAAGTTGCCTGTCTGCAATGTCAAAAATAACTAACGCCCAGTCAGATTTTTCTGCAATGTTGACTGGCATGATGATATAATTAACTTCATCCCATGCAATATTTGCGAGTAGTCTATACCCCAATATATATTCTGCTACAACGTCCTGGGGTTTGATAATAGAAAACTTCTTTTCTTGAGGAGAATTTTGGAACTTTTCATAAATTTGTTCAATCATAGTCTTGAACACTATTGTAGTAAACCTGATCTTGTTGTGGGGGTCATACTTGCCTCTTTTTCTCAAGTAATACATTATAACATCAATGTGCTGCAAAAAAAAACAGATTGCATTTATACTACAAGTTATCTTCAAATAATCTACACAAACTACAAAATAACTACAATTACATTACAAACAGAAAACAAAGTATCTACAATCAAAATACAAATTATCTACAAAATATCTACAAATCAAATACATTGAATCTTACCAAGTCATTAAGGACTTCTCTGGGGTGTGCCAGGGAAAAGAACCACTCATTCTTTTCAACCGTTTCCACTCCAAGATCTAACCATGGCTTAATTTGGTTGTTCTTTATAGAATACAGAGCCTTCCTCCTATATAAACAAATAGAAATTAAAATAAAATTGTTGAATAAAATGGATATGTAAAAGATGATACTGGAATAAAAGTGTCAAGTTGTGCAAACTAACCTCTTTGAACCTGTGTCTGTACCATGGTATAACCACTTGTTGAATTGATCCAACAACCCAGGATCTACATTTTGACCAATAACAGTAGTAAATGGGTGCTTGAGGTGAAAAATTTGAGGTCCAACCGAGGTGCTGCCACCAGAACTGTATAAAGGGAGAAATGGTGATCGGGCATGCTTTCCCGACTGCTTTGTTCTACCTTGATGCACGAGTATTGTTTCATCTTGTATAGGCTTGTCGGACTTAACCAACTGGGAGAAGTTATCAAGAAGCTTGAAATCATCAAGTGTAACCCCCTTCTTCTCACCTCCGGATTCTTCTAAATCACCTACATTCACATACTCTGCCTCTTCACCTACATTGTCATCTTCCTCATTCTGCTGTTCTCTTTGAGCTGCTACTGTCACTCCGTGAATTGGAGATTGTGCATGCATATCTTCCGTCTCTGTAACACCATGTACATCTAGCTTAATAGAATGGTAAAAATATTGAAACATAAAGCAAATATCTCTGAATACAATTTCATACCTGCATTCTCTTCATCAACTGCACCTTCAAAATGTGTATATAAATCAACACGTGCTGGATGATTTTCTTCACCAAGTGCACCTTCAACATGTTCTGTTTTTTCATTAAAAATGTTAATTCATACTGGATAGTAGTGGCTTGACAGTTTAAGAAGATATATAGGTGTGTTATAAGATCTACATAAATCTGTAGAGTTGTGCCAATATGATGTATTTATTTGTATATATTTTGTATATATAATATAGACAAATTGTATATATTTTATAGATATTCTGTAGATAATTGTAGATAAAGTGGAGTTATTTTGTAGATACCTGTTTTGTTGGTGTTGGCCTGCGCTGGTTCTCCACTAGTGAACTGAAATTGCTGATTGTTCTTGTCTTTTGGTTGGTCAGTATTTTTGGTTGAACTCCCAGCAAACTGAAAGTTTTATATTAGTTAGGATATATATTTTAAAAGTGACATAAATAGTTTTGTTAATATGAATAAAATTCAAATGTTACCTTTGCATCAACTTGATCATTTTGACAGTTTATCACCTGCAAAACAGTCTTGACTGACACATTTATTAGCACTCGAAGGCTACCTAGTTCTTCAAAGACATCTTTCCTAATATCTGCAAGCTTTTCATCGACCTACATATTAAAAAATACATAGTTAACTTCAGAATATGTCTTAACATACATTAAAGAACAGATGCACTATTATGTGTACATCACAATGCTGTTTAGGAATATATGTTACCTTCTCAAGACCTTTTTTTAACTTTATTATTTTATGAAGAATAGACTCATTGTCCTCTTTTCCAATTGATTCTTTGGGTTCCAATGGAGGAGCATCAACTTTGGGATCCTCAGAAATATGTTCAACCTCTTCAATTATGTACTTAACTTTATCAGGCAAAGACATCACTGAAAGCTCTTCAGGTGATTCATTTATGTTGGTGAACTGAATTAGAAAAAAATAAATTAGCTTGATTAAGGCAGAATATGTAGACAAATTGTTATTTTGTAGGTAAATTGTATAATCATAAATAAAAACCATTTACCTTCATCCATTCAGGCTTGATCATTCTGTCTTCAATTGCAGCTAACCAAATCTGACCCTTACTAGCTGACCAGTTAAGTATGAGAGGGATTAAATTAGAAATCCTTGTAGCTATATCAGTGTTGACGGAGGAGCAACACTCATACAACTATACTTTCATGGCTAGTGGTAATCCTCAAATGAGATAAGAATGAACGAAAGGATTTAGCCTGTGCCTAACTGATTCAATCAACTGTCTGTAAGACTAAATACCCCATGAGTATGTCTCGTACTGACCGGTTTCCACCAAATAAAACCTAAAATGATCTACCAACCTAATATGGTCTTTCTCTAAAGGATAAATGAAGAATTCTATGAGATATAGAATACATAACTTTACTGCATCCTTATCATTTACCCAGCTTTTGTTGGTTACAATCTGTTTTAGGTATGTCTTCTCCACTTTTACCTTATTTGGAAAGTAACTGCTCATTATCTTACTGACATAATTCGTAGTGTAACAAAAGTCTGTCACCTCGGTATGACATCTAAGACCAGTTATTAATGTAAACTCTCTCAATCCAAAATTTAACCTCTCACCTTTTAACTCAGCTGAAAAATAGAAAGCATCTGATGAATTCAATTCATACTTCATAAGAAGATGAATAGCTTGATTTTGCATGCATAAATTGGGAAATGACAGTAAATAACCAAAGCATGTCTTCTCGAATAGCTTCAAACCATTTGGAGACAAAAACTCTTTAATTGGGCTAGGAATGCTAGAGTCACATAATGTCTGGAATCTAAGCACCCCATAATCAACATTATGGGATGCAAAAAACTGTTCATTCTGTACAAAATATAAATAATCTCACATTAATACAGTGCTTAATAAACATAGATACATTTGCAATTTATCTACAAAATAAATACAAAAAATATACAAAATATCAACAATTTTAAACAGATCAATAAAGCTACAATTAATCTTCAAAATGAAGACAAATAATCTCATATTAATTCAGTGCTTAAAGAACATTGACACATTTGCAATTTATATACAAAATAACTACAAAATATCTACAATTTTAAACAGATCAATATAGCTACAATTAATCTTCAAAATGAAGACAAATAATCTACAAAGCAGAAAAACACAGATTATGTAGATTTTTAACAACTAAAACAAACGAAATAACTAGTGAAGAAATTACTAAATTCTTACATTCACCAATGACTGTTTTCGAACATTTTTAGGAGATTTAACAGTAGGGGCTTTTTTGAATTTTTCTTCTTTTTGGGAGTTTTTGAACTGGGAGACACCTTCGCTTTCTTTCCAGGTTTATTGATAGGCACATCTTCTACAAAATCATCATCGAACACTATCTCTTTTCCTTTCCTTTTCGCTTGTTTGATTGGTCTCGAAGATTCTCCAGCATCGAAATCATGTTTTTGTTTAGTTCTAGCTTCAGCCCTGATTTGACGCGGAGAAAAACTATGCTTCTTATCTACAATTGCATGTGCAGATTTCCCATGCTTTTTGGGTGAATGTGGTGATAATACACCCAAATCGAAAGAAGGTATATCAGCTTCTCTAGCCTTTTTAGGGTTGTGCTTTGAAGGTTTGTTCTTCTTCATTGAGAAAATTTGAAGCTGAAGGTAAATGTGTGTATGAACTTTGAAGAATTGACTTTAATTTTGACTAGTTGTAGAAGAAAAAGCTTGAAATTGGACGTTAATGGTGGGGGTTACATATGTTTCTATGGTTTTAGCGGAGGAAATAATGGGAAAGAAATGTAGGTGTGGGGAATACGTGGGTGAGGGTGTGGGTTTGGGAGAGAGAAACGTGGAGGATTTGGAGGAATATGATAGGAGGGATATACGGTACCATTAATGTACGGTTAAAACACATAATAGTATATAGTTGGTAATTAGATATACTAAATGTAATTATATCAAACCTTAAACATTGAGGGTAATATAGTTTACTATATGGCATAGGAATGTAAAAATTCAAAAAATGAAACCCCAAAACCAATAGGTTTGGTTTATGCCAAATATGGAACGTGTTTTTTTCTCTTAAATGTTTTTTTATTACATAAGGAATCAAGGGAGGGAATGGGAGGAAGATAGTGAAAACATTGAACATGAAAAACTCTCACAAGTACTATCAGATTGTAAACTTTGACGGTAATATAAGAGATGTTTAATACCAAATTTATTTTGAAAAACCAAATTTCAGTGCCTAAAATGTTTTAGGATTTAGTGATTTTTTAAATAGCTATAACACAAATGTAAACACAACAGTTTGTCAAAACTAATTCTTCCATACTAAATTCAAGCACGCACAATTATTTTTAGAACTTTTTTTGTTTTCAAACCAAATCAAAATGGGGCCTAAGAGACTAGTATTTCGTGTGTCCTCATTTAAATAGCAGTCACATATAGACCGGTAATGTCATGAAATCAACCACCCTCCGCTTAAAATTTTCACAAACCCCCAAGTCTTCGCGTATGAAAAGTCTTTAAGAGTTTTGATTAAATCTAACCCAAAAAAATCCATAAGATTACGAAACAAATCAATACAGATAAAAGATAACAATTTTTAGAAGATAAGAAAGAAGCATAAAAAGTAAAAATTATTCACAAAGTAATCGTCATATCCGATTCGCGTTCGCGTGTTTGGTCAAGATTAGTAATGGCTAACCAAAATTATACCCCCATTATTAATATTCGCTGCCGTCAATTGTTAAAATCCTATGTTATATAGTAAGTACTATGTTTGTGTTTTTCTTAAAAAATCTCAAACCACTCTAGGAATAGTTTTAGCAAACATTAAACTTTTCCACTGTGTTTAAGTAATAGCAATGCCAGTTTAGAGTTAGTACATGAAGTTAAGAGCAATTATTGGTGAATTTTGCAGAAAATGCTACTTACTAGTTGAGAGAATTTACTTAAAGGGCCATCCTACTTTCTTAATTTCGTTGATAGATGTGATTAATCGGCAGTATATTAAAAAACCTGGACTATTTTAAATACAGGCGAAAATAGAATTTGCTAAGAAGTCTGTTGAATAGTGTATATATGATAAAGCCCAGGTTGCAAGAAAAAACAACAAATGTTAGAACCTTTAAATTGTATAAAAGGCAAATTATTGGATATCAGGATAAACAGATGCCCCAAACTTCATTAATTTAAAATTCATTAAACAACAAACTCCGCACTTTAATACATACAAATTACAATTCAAAATTCATTGATTAGCGAGCGACCTTTAGATTACTAGGGTTAGGACTTCGGGCTAAACCTTTAAGGCTAACCAATCAAGGTGTGCTCCAACAGAACCCTTCTATACAGCCAGGCGCCGAATATAGTACTACTAGCGAAGAATGCACATACATCACCAACAAACATATCATTCATTCCCAAGGTAGTGAACATACAAAGATAGATCGAGCATGGAGAACGCAGCGAAAAAATGAAAAATAAACTTCAAAATTTCTTATGGGAAGGGAAAAAATGTGAAATTCTGCTACATCCCTAAGTATTAGACAACCTAATAAAAAGAACTGTGCTTTTGACAAGAATATGTACAGAACTAGTCCAGGATCTGCCAAGGGCCTCCATAGCAACATTTAGGAACCAAATAACAGCACTTCTCAGTCTATACGGCATCCTGACATGTTCATCAGCTCGTAATGGTTGGAATTCACAGGCTACCATATCACCGGAGTTCCATGCTCAGCCTTAAATGAATTCAGTAACTTTCTGAAACAATTTCCCCACACGGTCAGCTCAGTTCTCTTAATGCCCGGGCCTCATTCCATGGACTAGTTGTCTTGCTCAAATTCAGAACATGGCACAAATGACGCCAGTGTCAGACATACTACTTAACAGAGCTCCAACTCTTGGGATAGTCTCGATGGTAATACATCATTGACAGAGAAGCAACCAGTAACTAGTTCTGACAAGAAGAATTCACATTTTAAAGCCACAAATGGCTCTGTATCCAAGATCATTGGCTGGGATAAACTTTCTTCTCTGTCCCAACGGAGGCTTTGATGACAAGTTGCTAAGTGCTCTGTCTGAAAATCTCAAAGAAATGAGAATGTTGTACCTATATAGTCAAGAATTTCAAGTCATCATAAGTTTCAAACAAGTACCTTTACAATCTATCAGCAAAAGAACTTCAGCCACGACTGGGAGCCCCCATTGCTCAAAATCCCATCAAATTGTTAAAATCTTCCAAGTACCACCATAATCCACCAGGATATCTCTCTGTTGCAGCATAGCCTTCCATTCTCTTCATCAACAAGAATTCCCTTCCTCAAACCATATTCTGCAAACAAGACCAGCTGGACCAGCTGCGTCATCAAGAGCTGTCCAAGCCAGGAGGAGCAAGTCTATAGGAGCAGAAATGCTTCCTTACTGCCATAGTCTTCCATTCTCGCATCACCAAGAAGTCCTTTCAATAAACCATACTCTTGCACATACGATCAGCATGCATAGCTATGCCATCAACCAGTCTCCCAGCCAGGAGCAAGTCATAACATCAGGAACTAAAATGGTTGGTCCCCATGATGCATGGCACACATTCACGGGCATCAGCTACAGATCTCTTCTCCCAATTCCAGCTGTATTTTGCCTCCTCTGTATGCCATATTGCCAGGAATCTCTAAATTTATCAGCAGATTGATCAAAATCATCCAATGAGTTCTCTTGTGATGGCTTGGAAGACCTATAACTCCCATTTCTTACCTGTAACGCATTTGGCTTTTCATCATCTTCTGAAGGTGTTCCTGACCTGGACTCCATGTGTGTATCATATATTCTGTGCCGTAAGGAAGATCTGTAACCTCTATTATTAGCCATCTTGGTCGGTGGAGGAGCATGAGAAGCTGACCTGGGTAGCAAGAACTCTTTAGGCAAAGAATCCATGTCCATGTAACATTTTCTGGTTTTGGCATCAGCAATCAATGCAGCCCAATCTTCTGATTTCACCAGAGCATTGGCATTTCCCATTACCTGTAAAGAGAACAATAAAGGGTAAGTTACCCATAAAAAAAACAATAAAGGGTAAGTTATTATTAACTCGTACATAGCAGCTTTGCACATAGAGGATATGAATTATGTGCATAAATGGAGACCGAAATAACATACCCAAAGAGCTCTTCTTGCACGAGTAAGAGCAACGTTCATTCGCCGTATATCTGCAACAAACCCTACCCCATGGTTTGAGGCACGCACACATGACATTATAATAACATCACGCTCTTGACCCTGGAAAGCATCCACAGTATTTATGTAGATGTCTTTTCCTTCTTCAGAATTTAAAACATCCGCGAATTCCCGTTGAAGGCATTTAAGTTGCAGCTTGTAAGGAGTGATTATACCTACAGTAACTTTCCCAACACCAGCAGATTTACAAGTTTTTTGAAGATGCTCATACAAACGAAGACAGAACTGCGCTTCGTGGGTATTCTGATATGAAACAGATCCACCTCTATGTGATTCTCGACCATGTGTAATGTCATAAAAGATGTAAGGCTTTAGTAAAGGATCCTTGTAATAACTTTCATCAGGCAGATTAGCAACACTTTCACTATCTGTAAGGCGACCTTGATAAAAGTACCTAGATGGAAAATCCCTAATTTGAGGATGCATCCTGTACTGCACTGATAATAACATAGTTGGGCAGCCTGCTTGCTGAAACCTCTCAAAGAGACTTCTACTATACATCAAAGTTCCAGCTGCTTTGCTGATAACAGTAGCAGGAAGCTGCTGCGGATCCCCAACAAGAACACACCGTGCTGCACCAAGAGAAAGAGGAGGAAGGACTGCTACTTCACTGGCTTGGGCTGCTTCGTCAATGACTACCATGTCAAAACCATGGGTGAGACGAGAGAACAATTTCCTCCCACTACTTGAGACAGTAGTGAAAACAATTTCAGCTTCATTGGCAAAACTAGCCTCCAGACTAGCACGAGCTTCCTCCATGTTGAAATTGTTACCACCACGGAACCTACTTTCCAAAATCAGAAGGCGGGACATTTCCACCAATATTTTATCTCTATTCTCAACCACTGCCGCAAGGTTCTGCAATAGAGAATCTCGGTTTTGGTCCCTAGCCATAAGAACATCAGGGTCAACTCCGACAGATCCCTGTGAACGACCAGCAGCAGCAGCAACTGTTAGTTCTCTTTGAAGGCCAGCTATCTGCTGAGACAACTGAGCTTCACGAGCTCTCAACTGGTGCATCCACCCATAAACTTCATCACGACTCTTCATCAAAAGCTGTTCAGTTCTCCGCTCTACAGAGACTGCTTGGGCAGCACGCGTTTGGGAATCCACCCCGACTCGTGCAACATCAGGCCGATAAACTTTCATCTCGCCATCGATGAATCCACGATCAAGAACACGTGCAAGAAGCTCGTCGGTTGCGGCATTTGAAGGAGCGCAGACAAGCATTCTAGGTTTTGGGCATAGCTTTGGGAGGGTTCTGAAGAGATTCTGGTCCATGCTTAGCAGGACTTCATCAATGGATCCAGTAGCAACATTATCTGAGTTACTCTCATTATTCTGCTTATAGCTTTCAGGAGCAAGTTTCTTGAGCAATGCTGTGTAATAGTGCTGATACTGAACAAGATGGATGACGTTCAGCATTCCCCACACAGTGTGTGTTTTACCTGTACCAGGTGGCCCCTGAACTAGAGTAAAAGGCCAGGGATCTTGCCTCTTTGTCATACCATTAGTTCCAGCAGCTGTATGTGTTGCAGCCCATTGGATTGCTCCCAGCTGCGGGCCATTGAATGTCCTGTGCAAGTGATCAACAAAGTTTGGCGTAAAGCAGTCGGGCATTGCAGGTGTCTGCTCTTCATATTTCGGGAAGTGCTCCGGACTTGGCTGAAGAATTGCATTTTGCATCTGCACAGAAGACCATAGTTCGTTATTCAAACAGATAGCAGAAGAAGCATCCTGGGCAAGAGCTAGGTTTAGATATAACCTGCAGATTAAGACGCCGAAATGCATGTAAAGCAACATACTCTCGTTGGGTCGTTGCTAGAGAACCCAGAACAGTCAGAAACCAGATGCCTCTTGGTTGTAGTTTCCGCAGTATGTGATCACTATCAATATTGCTGAAAGAACAAATACCAAACTGTTAGCTCATTACTCAAGGAAGGTGGAAGCAGTTAAAAGCCTAGTCACTAACCTGTTGGTGTCAAACGGATCTCCAACATAGAAGTGCAGGATGGCCCCGGTAGCATCTCGAGTATCAATAGGTATGTGTCGTCTCACGGTACCAGCCACACGACCAGTTATTTCAGGCTGCTCTTCATCCCCAACTGTTGAGGTTCCGCTTCTCCGTGATCGGACTGCTTCGTCGATACAAAGTTTAGAAGTCATACTAAAATTAAGAAGAAGAAACGCAGAAAATTTGACATACACTCCAACAAAATGTTATAATACCAACCTGACCCAGGACGTGGAGTTGAGAGAACTGCAACATCTCCCTCTTTGAATGACCACTTCCACTCACATTCTGGAATAAGGATTACATCGTACCATCCTGTGGAGAAGAAAATGCAGTGCCGATTAGATAGGTAGGAAAAGAATTCCAGCTAGGCCGACCACAGCTTCCACTCTTTGAATTTCTCTTGTATGTGTGTGTTTTCTTTCATTAGGAAGGGAGCCTTTCTAAGAGTAACCTATATGTATGGACCAATCAAACACTTATGTTATCCTTGATACAGTAAAATCTTGTCTCGCTTGATACACGGGAAACTAGGAAATCCTAGAGATTGAAATGAAAAAACAAACCTGCAGAGTAGCTCAAAAGCAAAGACGCGACATTAAAAAGTTGAATAGCTTCCCAAATATGGATTTGGTATTTAAAAAAAGTTGTCCCTCATATCCGAGTTAAAGAATAAAACAAAATAAATGTATAAATAAAGTTGCCTTAACATACCTCTTTCTCGCCGTTCAATGTTTTTAACATGGACCTTCACATGGGTTCCTGATTCAGCCATCTCCTCCCAAGTACTGTACAGCTGTGCCCGGCATTCCTCAAAGAGCAAAGGTTCAAACACTTTAACATACTCTTCCTCAGATTCAAAGTGACCAGGAACACACTGAAGCTCCGTTTCATCTGATATGAAGAGAAGTTCACTCCTTAATAATAAACCATATGACGGCACTTCATGCACCACAACACTTTTTGACACAAGGCAAATAAGAAATTGAAAAAAGATGAGCCCTATGAGACTCAAGGAGCTGTACAATGCTAGTCACTACTCACTACTAACATGCCTAATACGACACTTCAAAGGAGCAAATCAGAGCACATTTTAAAAATAAAAATAAAAAATAGCTAACACAAAAATGTATTCAGTGTTTTCTCCTGATACATGTGAACAGGTTAGCCATGGAGATCATGAAAAAAACACTAAAAATCATATAGCTAACTTTGAGATGACAAAAAATTCTTCCATCCCACAAGCTATCCTGATGATTGAGATGCCCACCAGATGAAGCTGGAGGATCCCCTTTGGTATGCATGGGCCTGAGTAATACAAACACAACCACTCAATAAGCTAAAACGGTAAATCCTGACTCACCAAGCATTCCATAAAACTGGATGCTATAAATAGGTCACTATACCAACCTAGAAGAAAGTGGCAGTACAAAGCATATATCATTTAATAAACATACACCTTCATAGAGAAACTCACATATCATACAAGACAGAGAGAGAGAGAGAGAGAGAGATGTGAAAATGTTCAGCTGATGTGTGGTCCGGCCACTCAGATTCTCAGAAAAATGAAAAATACAACATAAAAGAAGTTTAAAGGATTAACCAAATCTTGAATGACCAGCTGAGCAAGAACACATACTTGCTTCTTTGAAGTAAATCCTAAAAGAAATGGATTTCATATTATCTGACAACACGAACAGAGCACAAGAAAAGGTGAGAAATCTGCACATCACTCATTCTAACAATATTCTAGGGAAATGCAAGTTCTGATCCTTAATCTCTAACAAGAGAAATAACTAAACATCTACAACAACATAAATGCTTATCTACCATATCACTATCCTTACTAGGCACAGCAAGACCAATGCTCATTATTAAAACCTAATTTGGAGCCTTTCTCCAATTAGAAAACTGGACATACCCCCCCCCCCACCCAAAAAAGAATCATCAGGGAAAGGTTCATAAGCTATGTCACATTGCTTACAAGCACAGAAAAGAATAAAAAGTTCGAGATAGAAAAAATTCATGAAGCCGTGCTGATACAGTCACAGTAATAACCCACAATGATGATAATAATAATGCAAGTGGAACTGGAAAATACCTGGATGTTGCCAAAACTTCTCGTTCGTCACCTCCTGAATAAGACGTTCCACAGATGTATCTTGGGACTGGCTACTTACTATAGGTTGCTTCTTGGACGGAGGTTTTTTGGCTCCAAATTTTGGATCCATGGAACTTTGACTTGTCAGAGCAGGCTGCTTCCTACCAGGGACCTGTGAATTTCTACCTTGTCTCAGATCTGTGGGATGTTTCGAAGAACTCAGCCTAGGCATAGGTGATGTTTGAGCCTCAGATGTGAGGTCAATCGAACTATTCATCCGTCTTGGACGACCTAGAGGTGCTAGGTTCACATCAGCACTTGATTCAGATTTAGAATCATTAGATTCCATAGGATAGTTGCCTTCATTAGTTGATTCAATTGGTTTTATATCTTTGACAAGTTGCTGACTGTGCTTTTCCCCATTCTTTTCAGCAGGTGGAGGAATGGTACGAGACTCTTTCACAATACGAGTAATAGGTGCTGGAAAATTTTGCCGTCTAGTAGTACTTTTTATTGAACCTGCCTGCTTAACGTCTTCCAAATCAAGAAACATGGTCTGCCTACTGCGCTTTTTTCCCAACATTGCTTCCTTTTGTTGGTCAATCTTAGGGCGCTTACCAAAATTGTTAGCACACTTTAATGCATGAATTGCCTCTGCACCTCTAATCTCTCTATGCTTTGGCACCTGGCCAGAATCCTCCTGACCATCCATGGCGATATCAGCTTTATTACTGGTTTCAGAATTTCTGCTACTATTACTTTTCCTATCATTTGTATCTGGATCTAATTCTAAAGAAAAAATATTGGAAATTTCACCATTCCGTTTCTCATTATCCTGAGAAGCATTATCAGCAGAGCCAACTTTATCACTATTACTCACCGGCTCAACTGCTGATTTCTCATGCGTAGCTTTATCAACATCAGTATTCAACTTATCATTGATCCCCAAATTTTTATATGCATCTGTTGAACCCTCTGCATCAGACCATTCACCTTCTTCCTTTTCAGCAGTTTGCATATCGAGAGAGTTCAGATCTGGCTGGAGCACAGCCTTCAATACATGTTCCTGACTTGATTTAGACAATGAAGCACCACTGGAAGTTGAGGCCCCAGCACTCTTCTGTTCCTCAGGAGCTCTAGATGCCTCTGCACCTTTCAACCGTACAAAGGGCTGAAAACCTGAAACAGAAGAAGCATGGGAAAAAGCATGATTGTTTACTATCCCCGGAGGATCAACAGAGGATGCCAAAAACTCAGAAGTCTTGGTACTAGAAGAGGGGACTGCTCTCTGAGGCTGGAAACAGAGGACACCATCATTGTTCTGGTCATCCTCAGAAGGGGGTTCATTAAGATCAAACAACAGCCTTCCTTTAGAACCCATCTCAAATATAATTGCATATACACTGAACAAAAGAAGCTTATACCACCACGTCTCGCTAATATTTAATTCTCAAAGGGCTATGGGCAAATATTCTAACTTCTTTATTCCCCACAGAACATTAAAAGCAAGAAATACTCTGCAATTTGGGGAAAGCAACAAACTTGATTAAAGGAAAAAAGTCACAGCATCAAACACTTTGGTTTGCAATCCAGCCAAGTACATAAGATTTACATCATCCTCGTCTAATTGGAATACTAAACATGAAGCAAATGAAGTGCTTTAGCGGTCAGCACTCACAGCTACAGATGCAGTATCATAAATCAGGAACGTATAGCTACAGCCTGCATGATCAAATTAATATCTTAATCAGCAATTCTGCTTGCAGGAGAAAAAGGAAAATCAAAAGAAAAAAGTAAACATAAGCTATGTGTTAAATTCTTAAATCTTATTGATGTTACATTATCACAAAGATTAACTGCTTCAAAATCAACCAAATAATAAAGAAAACTCAGAAGACACTGAAAATTCAACACCAAGCTCAAGCCCTGGAAATAAACACCACGCTAGCAATTACAGATTAGCCTCAACAACCAAATACACAGAAAAAGCAACTACGGGCCCTTCTAAAAAAACAGCTACAAGGCTAAGAAGACAGGAAAGCTGGAAATCAAGATCAATTACACAAATTCCATCGAAAGAAGTACGAGTTCTTCTCAAATTTATTACACACGTGACTTTTCATTTAGTAAATTATCTATATCCTAATACATCAAAAAAATGTGTGTTTACATTCTTTGATAGCACTACAAGATATCTATGACTTCATAGATAAGATAAAACCATATTCCCCCAATAAAAACAATATCTAAGAGACCCTATCCTCAATCTTTCACCTCTATTAATCGACCGACCCACATCCACTGATACAAACTCATCAAATAGCTCCAATAACACATAAACACTCCTAGCTTTCCATCCCCACATATTAAAATATACAATTAAGTAATGGCATAAATAGCTACCCACTACAGCAGAATATAAATGATGCATCAATAACAAATCCAACCAATGTGAACAAAACAGCACTCAGTACACAAAAAATAAATAAACAACAATACAGCTAACAACTAATTACCCAACTAAATCACCCCTAGCACCCCTTTCAGATTAGTACCAGATTGACCCTCTACCAGCCAAGATTCTCCAAAAGAAGCCATCAAACAAGATTCAATCTTTACAAATTCCCAATTAGTTAGGGTTTCCAAGAATCTAACAACCAATCAAAAAAATTATTATACAAATTAATTAATATCACCCATTAGTCCATTTACCATAGAAATTCCCAAATTCATCATATTCATTCAACCCCAGATCAAAGCCATTAGTCTCTATTTCGATCTATTATTTCTATATATTATTTCGATCTATTTTTATTTACTTTATAATTTAATTTAATTAGTAATCAAACTGTGTGGAGAGAGAAAGAGTGTGTGTGAGAGAGCGAGAGAGAGGGGAAAAGTACCTCAAAACAGCACCACGAAATCTAGAAAGAGTCAAAGAAGAAAAAAACAATTAAAATAATAAACAAATTTTAATAATAGAATAATAATAAATAAATTTCTCTTAAGTTTTCTATAGTTGGTGGTGTGCTTTGTATTTGTAGAGAGAGCTGTCGAGAGAGACAGAGTTTTAGAGAGAGAGGGGAGAGAGAACGAATGCTAGTGAAAAAAGAAGAGTGGGGAGGGGGCTATTTATAGGAAAATACAAGGGCCCATGTGCCCGGCCGGACTTAACGCCGATCACCGTTTATTTAAATTTCCGACTAATACTTAATCTGACGGCGTCACTTTTTTATTTAAAAGAACTATTATATGTACGCAATTGCCCTTCAATTTTAGCTTATTTACGTTAGTGAAATGACGAGAATACCAGATTGGAGGGTGGAGCTTGGGGGTAAAGGTTGGAGGGTAAATATGACATTTAGAAGGCTTTTGCATGATGATCTGTCCAGATCCGTTTAACAGGCGTACATGTAAACGAGACTCATGTTCAAATTTTGATTTTTATTGGCCTTTACAAAAAAAGAAAAGAAATGATCAGTTTTGTCGTAGTAGTGAGTTTCCTTTGGGATTAGTTTTTTGGCTCCTTTGATTTCTTTTCCTTTTTTGTTATGTTATTAACTAAATTAATAAAAAAGACTAGATTTTCCTAGAGAAAATAGGTAAGATCTTTAAGAATTGGGAAATTTATGGTAAATTGGGATAATATTGTTGGATAATTTTGGAAAAATTATGATGGGGTAGTTTGGTAGGGTGGGGAAAAGCTCATATGATTTTCTTATTTGCCACTCATCAAAATATCAGTACTATATTGATAAGGTAAATGTGGACACATGATGTTGTTTTAATTTTATGCATTAATCGCATAAATATCGTACATATTTCGTGTAATTCGATTCGTTCTGATATAATATAATTTTCATATTCTATAATATAGATGTCTATATGCTATTTGACATGATTACATAAATATGTTTATATAATTTGTGCATACAACGCAAGCCCTAACTTTAACCTAAACGTTTAATATCAAATGGTACAAACACGGTTACCTTCTCTTCATAAATGAAGTTGAAAGTAATCTTAGGTTATAAATTTTTTGCGTGTTTGTGTGTAATCTATATTTTGTTCGATAGCTTAAAAGCTCCTAAGACAATTTGTCACACTTAGATTGTCATTCAAAAAATTTCCTTGTGTGATCCTTTAAACTAGTATAATATTATATTACGTGATAGCTACTTTCAAAATAGCTTCACGAGAAGATAAGAAAATTAAATAAATATAAAATTCTTTTTGTTGAAAATTCTACAACATTCATCTTTTATGATATGTTGTTAACTAGATTTAGTATAAATAAATAAAAAAGATTAATAGGTAAGATCTTTTAAGAATTGAAAAATCTATCGAAAGTTAAGATAATCTTGTTGGAAATCCCGAAAAAATGATGATGGAATAGTTAGGTAGTGTGAGAAAAAAACTCAAATATGTCTCTTCACAACAAAAACTAATGCATATTAATAGAGTTATTATGGACACATGTCATTATTTTTATTTTCGTTTTATGAGTTGATGGTGTACAATTTTTACATTCTCAATGTAATTTAATTAATTTGGCGCTCTAACATAATATAAATTCTCTTTTTTCCATATTGTAGTGTATATGTTTATATACAAATTTTTTGGATAACACGATTATGTAAATATATTTTATATTATTTGTGTATAATTAATATTGACATATTTAACCTAGATATATGTTTAATACCGAAATGGTGTAAACAAGTTATGCCAACTTCTTTTCATAAATGAAGTTGTACGTAATTTTGTGTCTAAAGTCTTTTTGCGTATTTTATATTTTGGTCGATAGCTTAAACACGCCTAAGAAAAATTGTTGCCATTGTCCTTCCAAATTGTCCTTTTGTTATTAATACATCATCTTTTAGCAAGAAGGCACACAAAGTTACAATAACTTAATTCTTGAACTAATATTATATTATATTTGGTGATAGCACATCTTTCTTCCAAACTAGCTTCACCAAAAGATAAGCAAACTAAATAAGTATAAGATTCTTTTTTGAAATCCTATACAGTATTCATTTTTTGGTATATTATTAACTAGATTAATAAAATACATTAAAGTATCCAGAGAAAATAGGTAAGATCTTTTAGAATTGAAAATTTAGGATAATATTATTGGAAATTTTGAAAAAATTACCATAATAGTTTGGTATGAAGAGAAAAAGCTCATATTTGAATTTCCAACTTTCCCTCACCAAAACATCAATCTATTTTAATTAATGGAGCTATACTATAGACACATGCCAGTTATTTTTGTTTTAGCTATATATATTGTTGGTGTAAAAATTTAGACATTTAGTGTAATTTGAGTTGCTCTAACATAATATAAGCTTTTTTTCATATTTAGCGTAAATGTTTATATGCAATTTCCTTTTAAATGACATGTTTGTATAAATTTATTTTATATTATTAGTGCCAAAACTAATGTGGTTGTCACGACCCAAACCGAAGGGTCGCGACAGGCACCCGGTGCCTTACTCAACCGAGTACCAACGTAACATATCTTTCTTATCATGTTATCATGAGTAAATGAGCTAGAAAACTCGTCCTGAGATAACAAGAATAAAACATAAGGGAATAGTCAACATATGAAGACCCAACATGATATACAAACTAATATATGTGACATACGGGCCTATAAGGCCGACATGACCATTAGTAAACTCGAAACATAGGCCGACAAGGCCATACAATTATCCATACACCTGACATATGTCTACAAGCCTCTAAGAGTACATAAAATCATAAAGGTCGGGACAGGGCCCCGCCATATCAATCAATACATATCCAAAGCATACTGACCAAATAGGCAACTCCGGAGCAAGTGGAGTGCACCAACACCTTCGCTGAGCTGATAGCCTACTGGAGGACTATCAACCTATCAATCGAGACCTGCGGACATGAAATGCAGCGTCCCCAGGCAAAAGGGACATCAGTACGAATAAAGTACCGAGTATGTTAGGCAGGAAAGCATAAACAAGAACAGTAATATAAAGAGAGAGATGGAGGAGATACAACCTGTAACATCAGAGTGCCTCTGGGGTTACTGATATGAAATGCATAATACATATATATACATAAACTTTTTAAAACATTCGCCTCTGTGGGCATCATCATCATCATATCGTACCCGGCCTCAAAGAGGACTCGGTAAAAGCGTACCCGACCATCATAAGGTTCGGTAGAATCGTACCTAGCCACGTGGAACTCGGTAAACCAACTGATCAGTGGTTGCACAATAGGTGTCGTACCCGGCCGACTATAGTGCGG